ACCGTTTGACCTTGATTCCGCCTACTTTGTTGATACTGCACCTAAGTACATAGAAAGTGGATATTTGATGAAATTTTAACCTAATTTAGATTTCTTTACAAGAGTAACTTTAAATTTCGGTGGCGAAAATCTATGGCCTAGATTGATCGTTTTCAACTCTTGTTTTTTTATTATTTAACTTTAAATTTATAACAAATTGATAGACCGCTTGATGGAAAGTGATAGCCTTTACCCGTGGGGAAAAAGGATTGTTAAGTAATGGGATTGCTAGCATTACTAGCAATATACACTATCAGATCGACTTCCACGCGGTTCCCCTTGAAAACCATCTTGTTTAATTATCGATGAATTCATCACGATGGGCCAACTGACCTGCTTCATTCTCACCTATCACCCATCACTAGTGCCCCGCCAGCGTAAGCCCCCCAGCGCTGGCGGGGTTACGATTTCATCGTAACCTATTAAAAAAACTATCACTATGAAAAAAAAATATATGAAAATTTCTTTTTATTACTTCACATCATTTTACCATTTTTTCCGTTTCAGTCCCAACCTTTGTTATAAACAGCAGCGTCTTGGTACTAAGACAACGTCTTGGTATAAGTTAATCTCTTTTTACTTGATGCAATAAAGTGTAAATAAATAAATACATAAATGTTAACGTTTTTTAAATGGGCTATAATGGAATGGTAACCCCACTTATGGTATCGGTAACGCTGGCAGAGTACCAATGATGGATAATAGGTGAAGATGAAATCAGGTGATTTCGCCCTCCGTGACGGATTCTACAAGAATTAATCACGACAATTTTCAGAAGGAAGGACGTGGAGATGGATCTGATAGAGTACATTACTAACCATGAGGCTTTTAGATCCTCATTACTAGAAATCCCCCCCCCCCCCCTTCTCAATAAGAAGTAGTATATTAATATTAACATTTGCAATACACACCTACTAGTTAGATACTCGTTTTATAGTATCTTTCCCTCGCAACTGTCGCCTGCCAGCCAGTTAGCATTGGGTTGAGCAATACTGATGAAATAGATCTTTAGCAATAGATCGGTACTTAGGTACGTAGAGCGCACAGGAGCTATGACGTCACATGGCATGTTAGGCATAGTGCACTCAATAAATACACAATGTACGAGGTTTGTCCGGAAAGTACGTATAAAAGTTTTTTAAAAATTTTATTTTACAATTATTCAGGTAAATCAATTTTATCCTCTTCAAAGTACTCCCCCTGTGACATAATGCACTTGTGCCAACGCCGTTTCCACTGTGAGAAGGCTCCTTGAAAGTCCTCTGGTTGTAGGTTTCTCAGCTGCCCCGTCGTAGCTTTTTTTATCTCATTTATGTCCCCCAAATGCCGCCCCCGAAGTACCAATTTGGTTTTTGGGAACAAGAAGAAGTCACACGGGGCCAAATCCGGCGAATAGGGGGGGTGTTCGGTCACCGTAATGGAATTTTTACTCAAAAACTCACGGACAACAAGAGAGGTGTGGGCAGGGGCATTGTCGTGGTGAAGAATCCAACGCCCCTCTCGCGCCAATTCTGGACGAACTCGTGCCACACGAGCTTTGAGGCGTCTGAGCACATCGACGTAGAATTTTCCATCAACTGTCTGGCCTGGAGGGACGAATTCTTGATGGACAATCCCCCGAACATCGAAAAAAACAATCAACATTGTCTGGACATTTGAGCGGGATTTTCTTGATTTTTTTGTTCGTGGTTCCCCGGATGTCTTCCACTCTTTGCTTTGGGATTTTAATTCGACATCAAATTCGTAGAACCAAGACTCATCTCCAGTGATGACTCGGTTCAAAAAGTCACCATTCTCTTCGGCTTCCAACCAGTCCTCACAGCAAGCAACTCTTCGTGATTTTTGATCCGGGGACAAAAGCTTGGGAACGATCTTGGCGCAAATTTTTTTCATTTGAAGTTCGTTTCTTAGAATTTCGTGGACCACGGTTTTGCCCAAATTAAGCTCTTCAGCCACCTGTCTGACCGTTAAACGACGGTACCCATTAACACAAGTTCGAATTCTTTCCACGTTTTCGTCGGAATGTGAAGTGGAAGGACGTCCTGAACGTGGGTCATCTTGAACGCTTTCTCGGCCCTCTCTGAATCTTTTTAGCCACTTGTGGACGGTTGGTTCCTTCACAGCATCATCCCCATAAACTGTTCTGAGATCGGCAAAAATTTCACGGCCATTCTTGCCGAGTTTCGAGAGAAACTTGATTACGACGCGCTGCTCTTCAACGGAAGCGGGCTTCATGCCGACGGGGTTTCGTTAAGAGGTAACTTCACAGATGGCGTGACAAGCCAGTTCGCACCGCACGGCGGTCAGACCAGAACTGAAGCATTGTTAGGGACATAAGGAAGGGGTCCTGCGCTTACCTGGCCTCCCCACTCCTCTTTCTCGCATTCCAGAACACTTTTATACGAACTTTCCGGACAGACCTCGTACTTCTCATTAATATTTACTGTATTTTTTTTTTACTTGATGCAATAAAGTGTAAAAATAAAAAAAATTTTGACAGAAGTTTGAAAAGAATAACTATTGACTTTATCGTAATATTTTTTCTCAACAGATAACGACTTTCTGAAACTATAGTGGAATCGTAGTGAAATTATAGCTGTTGATATTTTGTTTCTACACATTTAAAAGCGTTCATAACTTTAGCTTATCGAAGTGTGGTAACGTCGCGAGTATCTGATAATTTTCAAAAAAAATTTAACAACTTCTACTATTTCTGACTGACCCTTTTTTTTTATTGGATGACAATGGAATGGTCACCCCGCGCTGGCGGAGCACCAGTAAGGGGTGATACGTGAGACGAAAAGAATAGGTCAGTTAGCCCATCGTGATGAATACACCACGAATTCAGCACGATGGTTTCTAGGGGAGACCACGTGGATGTCGACCTAACAGGGTGTATTACTAGCAATGAGATTCGTAGTCTGCATTACTAACAATCAAACCGACTGGCCCCTTTAGTTCTCTGGTAGCAAAAAACATAGCACGTTAATCACGCAATAATATTCTTATAAACCTGTATCTAGAAATTTAGATTTTGATGGCAAAAATGTATTTGAAAATTTTCGAAGCAAAATAGGTTAAATAAGTGCAAATTTTTTAGTCATAAATGTATATGCAGATGTATATATGTATATGCCCTCTAGAATACCTCGGAAACAGATAACACCTTTATGTCCTCCGTTAAGAAGAACAGTGTTAGGAGCCAATTCGCCTGTACCCAGATTATGTAGGATTCTGAATGCTCACCACGGTCAAATTGACATCAATTTTGGATCCATCAACAGCAGATATAACTTATTGAGGAAAATCTTACACATAAGTTCTTAATTTACTTATTATTCAGATATTGTTAATAATTTATTAAATATTATAATAGTGCATGTGGTGTTCGCCTGTAAAAGACTTTTACATTAGGCAAAAGATTATTTTTTAATTAATCATTCAACCTTTCACGTTTGTTGTTAAAATTAAAAGTTGCATGTACATAAGGCCCATTTTGTTAGTTACAAAAACCTGTAAAAAGTTGTAACCTGTGAACCTTATTAAATAAATAAATAAATATGCAATGTTTATAAATAACATAGTTTGTAAGTTCGCTAGAGAGATTATTTTTAAATAATTAATCATTCAACCTTTCACGTTGAAAATTGTTGTTTTCAAAGTGCATCCGCTAAATACAAAAAAAAAATTTTTTTACATATAGTTGTGACGCGTCACACTTCAGTAAGCTACGGTTATGAATGCTCGTCAAGTTCATTTGAGTTAAGACATCTTTCAATGTTATTAATTCTGTTAAGGTTAAAGTCTGATGCAACATGCAACAATGGAATAATAAATTTACTCATTTTTCTCCCAACTGTTTAACGTAATGTTTTACAATTTTATATTGTTTATAAGTGTGTTTGAAATATGTACTTTCAGGAGGCTTAAAATAGTCGCATTACTCATTGCATTTTGTTTTTTAATATACACTTCACGCTAATGGCGTCATTTCAATAAAGCGGTGTAATTTCGTCGCCGGATAATTAAGAATAAAACTTTATGAATGCATTTTTTCACTCCCCTGTTTTTGATGCAAATTAGTGTGATCTTAATTGTGGAAGTTTTAATTAATTTATATAATTTTATTACTTTATCCAACATTTTTAGTTTTATCATGTCAATTTGTATGAGAGCCATGAATTTAATGTATATTTAAAACTTGAACAGACAATCATTCATTCATTGCGTATAAAAATATATTTTATTGAATAATATGCAAATACTAATAAAATACATCTGTGTCAGCGCCTATAACCCGTACTGTTTGCATTAAGCTACTGAACTAACTCCAAAAATGCCCAATGTAATTTTTTGAGTCAGTGCTGTATTAAAATGAAATCCATTTATACAATAGCAGGTACATAATATACATCCATACCATAGTTTGACAAAATTTGTATGAAATTAATCCAAAAAAGCCTATAGTTTGAAAAAAAAATCAATTTTAAAGATTTATAATAGATAAACGCCTTTTTGTGCAAGTAAATTCTATTCTCTATATATTTTTTTACTAGTTGTATCCTTATATATGTCTTCACCCGCATTACCAGTATTATATACTAAATAAGTATATAACCTACCTGTGTATAAAATTTCATTAAAATTTGTTTCCGTCCATGAAAGAGCGACAAACATCCATTCCTTCATTCAATCCATCCATCCCTTCATCTATCCATCCATTCATCCCTCCCTCCTCCTCCATCGTTACAAAATTTCACATTTATAATATTAATAGGTGTAACAATCGAAACTATATATGCGATTAGTTCTTGGTATTCATTTATCTCTATCGGGCCTGATAACAATCTATTGAACAAAATCAAATACTATAATCAACATAACAATACAACTAAATGTATTTACGATCTTTTGTCTGTTTTATACAAAATCAATAAATGTATTGTTTCTTTATTTTTCAGGATGTATGTCGGCGCTGTGCATATTCGTGCTCTACACGAAGCACCTAATCATCGTGTACCTCTACCTGATGTCGGTAGGGATCGTCTTCGTGTCATACTGGACCAACGTGTCCGCTATCAAGCAAATCCAGGCGCTGTCATTAGCTTCGGCAAGCGCGCAACATGGCACCAGCATCCTTGAAGACATCCTCAACTTAAACATAAAGAATCTACTTGATCTCGACGGGCCGGGCGTGTTAGTCATACAAAATTTCGCTATACAATTCACTCTAGCCGTCCTATTTAGAAATGTCCATCTAGGGCCGCGACAAGCAAGCATACAGAAATTATTACCGATCAGCTTTATGGCGCCGTCCTTTTTAGCTATGTTACCAGTTCCTCCAAACCTATTGCATCACTCCCCAGTGTTCTCAGCGCTGTTACCTCTTTTCCTTGTCAAATACGTGCTCTGGTCATCGTTGTACAACGTGATACAAGTCATATATTCCGGATATCAACACGGACGACTCTTTGTTAGTAATTATGGATTATCAGCATTGGTCGAAATGGAATGGATGCGACTAAACGTGCCATGTGTCTTAAGAGTGTTTTGGGTAATGCGAGTGGCCGAACACGCCATACTTCTGCTTATGGATAACTACGATGACGACGCGGAGGAGGGACTTAAAGTGTCCACATTGTTAGCGGTGCAATCACTCGCTTCGATGGCTAAATCACTCCTAGTCACAGGTTGCGAAACCATAACGGCCGTACTCGGAATGACTTCGGTAATCTCATTCTTCTGTCACTATATTGGCAATTTCTTCCAATGGATTCTACTTACTGATGAGGAGGAGGACAAAAGCATTGGGACCGTATCGGCTATCCTTTTTTATATACTGGCATTGCAGACAGGACTAACGTCACTAAATCCAGAAAAGAGATTTGTCCGTTTATGCAGGAATTTCTGTCTATTATTCACCGCTCTGTTACATTTCCTGCACAACATCGTGAACCCAATGCTTATGTCACTGAGTGCATCTCATAATCCGAGCACGCATAGACACATCCGAGCGTTGGGAGTTTGCGCTTTTCTCATCATCTTTCCTATATCTTTACTAGTATATCTATGGTCCCAACACAACATTTCAACGTGGTTATTGGCCGTGAGTGCTTTCAGTATAGAAGTAATAGTGAAAGTAATAGTCAGCCTGATGATATACTCGCTTTTCCTGATAGACGCTTACAGAAGTACGTTCTGGGAGCAACTCGACGACTACGTATACTACATCCGTGCGTTTGGGAACACCATAGAATTTTGTTTCGGTATATTCCTGTTCTTCAACGGAGCTTGGATACTCCTCTTCGAGTCCGGCGGCGCTATTCGCGCGGTCATGATGTGCATACATGCCTATTTCAACATTTGGTGTGAGGCGAGGGCCGGATGGTCAGTTTTCATGAAACGGAGGACGGCAGTCAACAAAATTAACTCGTTGCGAGAGGCATCCGCGGATCAGCTCAGCAGGCTGGACGACGTTTGCGCCATATGCTACCAAGAGATGCACTCAGCTAAAATAACCAGATGCAACCATTATTTCCACGGAGTATGTTTAAGAAAGTGGCTATACGTCCAAGATAGATGCCCGTTGTGTCATGACATACTGTATAAAATAGACAGCGACGTGAATAAAGACAACTCTGATGCGGGCAACGAGGAGAACAGTAATAATCAGAACCTCATCTTGGAGGAAGAGCCTGATCTCTTGCTAGGGGAGGGCGTCAGGTGACTGCTTGACGAGGACGTATACCACTTAGATTAAACACGATTTTGAAAATTCAATTTGAGTGGTCACTTTATTTTGTATAGTAAGTTATTGTTTTTTTTTTTTTTTTTATAAATGAGGTAAGACTGTGATTTGAAATGGTGAGTTGAATTTTGTCTTGTGGTGGATGAGTTATTTCTGGCGTGTGTTGTCTATAAGTTAAGCTTAATGGATTTTATGTGCTTGCGAGCCTGTCGCTGTACATTGTTACACGATTATGACAAAAATTCTCAAGTGTTACCGAGCTAACAAAAAGCAGTTGGTACTGTTTTGAAAATTATATTATTAGACGAATTTAAAGCTATTTGTAAATATTGATATTATTTAGAAATAGCTTTTAATAATTGACTGTAACTTAATAAAAAAATATATATATATTATATATAAAAATAGTAATTTTTCTGATATAAAAATGTGTAAATAAACTATTATTTTAGCAATTATATATTTTTATTCATAGTCTAAAATTGTCAAAAATAAAATTGCATTTATCAATCTTTAACAGTTTATTGTAATATAAAATTTTGCAGTTGTAACAGTAAATCTAGTATAAAATTGGTTAATACCGTGAAATATTTTACATAATTAGCCCAAAACTGACCGGCTTCTAAACAAATTAACATAAATTGTATAGTACCCGTTTCTCGCCGCATAATCAAGATTAGAACACTTCCTTTATGTCTAATTATGCTTAGTTTTTTATTTTTTTATTTAAACATTTGCAGCGATGTTTGTTTAAAAATAAACACAACTTTAGGGGTCATTGTCCATGATTTCAACTGACATGCGAAAATATTTACTTTAAAATGGTCATTTATATCGTCATAGCATATTACAAGGTACAGAACGGGACCCATTGAAACTAATAAAAAAGTTTTATTAAATTGCAGCGTAGTCCCGACATAGAATGGGTCACCCCTTCCTTTCACGGGGATGTCATAAAAGGCGACTAAGAGAACTTAATAGCCGACGGTTGGGCAGTAACGTTCCTCTTAAAACATCACCAAAGCTAACTGCGGTTGACAACTCGCCTGCCAAGCGTGGCAACTACTGGTAAACCCACATTATGGTTGAAGCTTGTGTTCAGCAGTGGACAGTTGACGGCATATATGATGGTAATCAAATTAAATATAAAACTGTCAACCTGTCCTGGTTTTTTTTTCGAAATTTAAAAAAACAAAACATTAATTTTCGAGTTTATCCATTACAAACAAAAAGTCAAATTCATCCTTCTTTACGAGTTAAATTTTTTTTATACGACTTAGAATGGCAAGCAAGCTGACGGCCCACCTGATGGAAAGTGGTAACCGTCGCCTATAGATACGAGCAGTACCGTGGACATAACAGAGTATACTGTTTCGCCAATGATACCCCCCATGCGTTGCCATTCCTAAGGACTCAGGTGTTATTCCTCTGTACCCAGTAAATTCACGCCATATCCCACCCTTCAAACCGAAACACAGCCATGCAAACACAACTGCTTCACGGTAGAAACACGAATGGGACAGAGGTACCCAAGCAATCGACTTTTGTACAGTCTCCCTCTGGTTATTAAGTTTCCGTCTTCAGTATATGCTCTGTACTGTAAACAAATTCCAAGTATTTTCTGCAGTGTATGGTGTAATACATTTTTATTCAGCATAAATTTATTTTTAATTTGTATATATATGTACGTGGCTATGCCAAGTTAATCATGCGAGGCATTAGAAGAAAATGCTTATAGTTTTGCACTAATGCAAAATATTACTAGGTGAATAGGTCACCTCAAGATATGTCTAAGAATTAATTTTTTAGACAATACAATATAGATACATAATTTATAACTTTATAAAAACTGACATCAATGTTAAAAGAGAAATCCTTTTGGGTCGCTAAACAAATGAGAAACGAATCTGCGGGTAACGTTCCAGGTAAAAAAGAAAAAGGCTCGCGTGAGAAAGAAAAAGACAGCACGTCGCCGTCTCTTTCTATCTCATTTATTTATGTTACTTAAAATGGCAAACAAACCGTCATTCTACCTGATGGAAAATTAAAATCATCGAATAGGCGAACTATAGAGACATGGACTGTTCATGGTGCTCTCACCACGGACATCATAGAAGCGTTTTGATGCCTTTGACGGCATTTTATTTATGTATTTGTTTGTCACCTTTCTAACGGGTCTTTAGAAGTTTCTATGCCTCGGAAGTACGCTTCTCATTTTAAAAACCCCTGGAGAAGTTATAAGTATAATTTGGTAAATATAACTTAGATGACCTTGGTGATGTAGCAGTTTAACACATCGCCTCCTTCCAATAGTCACAGGTTCGATCCCTGCACAATACAAATAATTGTATTCAGACCATGCCTTTTTGTATGGTCTGGCTGTTTACTATGTATAATGTTTATGCATTCACAAAAAAGTAACTGTAAATAATCATTACATCGCCATCTAGTAAGTATGGGTAATATGGATACCGATCCGATATCTATATATTGGGTTCTTAACATTGATGATATAAAGAAGGTCATGACCCATCTCGATATTACCCATATCGGTGTGATATTTATTTTTCGAATATGTTAAAAGTCTATTTTCCAATATTATTTTCATAGATAACACTTAAAATATTCGTTATGGGACCAATATACAGATATTTTAACTAAAGTATATAGATATTGTTACAGTATATTACCCACCCCTACCATCTAGTGTGTAACCAGTAGTGTGTCAAACTAAAAGCGTGTACTATAGTATTAGATAATTAGAAATACTTTTTAGTAAATAAATACATACATAGAATACAAAAAGACATACTCATCAATACATATCATATCTATCAATTACCTAACCCATAGTACGAGTTCTACTTAGTTTACTACTAGATGGCGTCTAATATTGAACATAATATATTATTACATTCCTTTCATAGTTGGTAAGTTTGTGTATTTTGCCCGTTTATGACGTGTGTGTATAAATATTTAGTTGAATATGAGGTCCTTGTAGTTGGAGAGTAGATAATAGTTCGAGACGCGACAGTTTGTAGACGTTCGGACGACTGTGGTGCGGTCCGCGCGCTCGAAGTTCGCCTTCACGATCTCGTAGTAACGACCATCGCTGCAACAAAGCGCTTTATTTAACGGTATTAGCAGAAACATAGAACTAAATGAAATCGAATATATTTCTCTAAAATAATAATCATTTATATAAAATCTTTTCAAAAATTTACTGGAAGAAAATGCTGTCACCTTGTACTTGTGCCATTCTAAGTATCATTAAGTCCGCCTTTTCAACAAAAAGGGGTTCTCAATTCGGTTTTTTTTTTTGTTTGTTACCTCATAACTCACGTCAATCGTAAACCGGTTTGGATTTCTTTTTTTTTTTTCTAAAAGGTTAAACTTACAGATTGGTCCTATAGAATTTATATCAAAGTCGGTGCAGTAATTTAATTTTTAAATCAAAATAATTGGTTTTGTCACAAATTTTTTTTTTTTTGTGGGACACAAACTTTAATTATGCACCATATATAATATATATGTAGTTGTAAAATTGTAAAATAGTAGTAAAATTGTCAATCCTTTATAATATTAAAAAAGAAATAGAAATGTGAAATATGTTTGTTACCTTATAGAATCTTAACGACATACCTAACCGAAATCACTGAAATTTTGGTATACCTACTCTTACTTTATGGGACGGAGATTGGCATAGGCAAATTTTATTATATTTAGTAAATATATCCCGGATACGCGAACAGTCACTGGTAAAAGCTAGAATAGGTACTATGTACATTATTAATAAGATATTAAACTATACTCACCTGAGCACAAGGCACTTGAGTTTGAGGCACTTGACGCGCAGTATATCTATCGCCTTCTGGCTCTTGTCGCTGAAACGCAAGTTCTCGGGGTCCCAGCGAAGCTCCAGCCGCTCCAGGTTGAGGCAGTGGGTCGCAATGCCGTCCATCAGCTGTAAATGCAAGAACTCTTATCATCATATCAACCTTTTACCGTCCACTGCTGAATATACGCCTCTCCCATGGGGATTCTGCTAGTAATTGCCACGTTTGATAGACAGGTTGGTAACCGCAGTTAGGTTTTGGTAAGGTTTTAAAACAGAAGTTGCTACCCATCCCTCGATCATTAAATTCCCTTAAGTTCGTAGATACATATTATACGTAAATCAAACGTACATGAATATAAAAATTGGGATTGTACAGTCATCGACGAACCCCCGATTATCGGAAGGCAACATCATCGTACGCAATACATAGTCAAACAGGAACCCTGTGCCAAAAAAGCAACGCCAAAGCGCTACTTAAAACATAGGCGTACATACTCAAGGGGAGGCTGAGGGAGTCGTGTACATTGCAGGATTCGAGCAAAGTTTTACAAAGACATGTTTAAGAGTGAATATATGCTACTTTTTAAGGTGCCAGAACCCTCTTCGAAAATAAATACGTAAAGGACCAAGAGTGTCTTCTGTGAAGTACAAGTTCTGTACATGTATCATTATGTATTCAAATCGTTTACCATTCTAAATTGTATACAAAACTGTAGGTATATACTGAAGTTTTAGGCAGAATGAAGTGTTACCTGATCAACATGTATGTTAACGCCAAGTCGCTCCTGTGTTCCCATTATGAGGATCCTGTAAATATTCAAAATGTCCTATAAATATAACTTTACATATCGGATCGCGAAGGCCAAGTGGCTATGTCTTTATAAAAAATTTTGACTTTATATCTATAGCGCCAAAACTTCGTAGCACTAAATCCGGCATAGGCGTATTAAAGGAGGGGAGGGGGCGAGTAAGCCGTGCCTTTCTTAGAATTGTCTGGTACCTACCCCAAGATTAGGAGCGGAGCTTTTAGCTATGGGCAAAGGCATATCTAAGGAATCAACTTCCAGCAGCAGTATTTCCGAACCGATACGACAACATAACCTTCAAGAAAAGAGCATATTCCTTTTTAAAAGGCCGGCAGCACACCTGCAATGCCGTAGGTGTTGTGGGTGATCATGGGCGGCGGTAGTCACTTACCATCAGGTGAGCCGCATGCTCGTTTGCCCCCTGTGTTGTAAAAAAAAAAAAAAAAAAATTACGGGAAGGGGGTGCCGGCTTCTAGAAAACCTCGTGCTCTTTTGATAACCAGATGCATCATCATTATTTCAGCTGAAAGACGTACACTGCTTACTGAACAAGCAAATGCGGTCTAAACAAGAGATAACAAGATGACGATTATTTTAGTTTTGTGATGTCTAGCGTAATGGATGCTCCGCACCTATTATTTACCTCTCTTGGGTGTTGCAGCCCTCGAGCACCCATGGAGACAGAAAAATAACAGTGATATTACACGAATTATAAAAAACAGCGATAGCAACACATGTGGTGTATTTCATATACTCTAGATTTGAGTATATGTATTATGTATTTTACTATCTTCATGTCACTGGATTCCTCTATTTTCTAGTTGCATCACTTCGTGTTCATGTCGTATAAAAGAGATGAGTGACTCACTTAGCGTTTGTGAGCAGTTGAAGCACGCTCTGCCAGAGCTGATCGGTGATGTGAGGCATCCCGCTGAGCACGAGCCCCCACAGCTGGCTGCCGTGCCGCGACAGGAACCGGTGCAGCGCCTCGTCCGACAGATTGTCCGAAGAGTCCACATCCAAAGCCACCAGATTCCTGTATGGGATTCCAACAAAGCGTCATCTTAGATGAATAACATCTAAGTAAACAAATACTGCTCCAAAAAATCTAGGTTATTTTTACATCGCAATTTTAATAGTGTTTACCATTGGGAAGTTTTGCCATTAGTTGCCACGTTTGGCAGGCGGGTTGGCAACCATAGTTAGGATTTTGAGATATTTTAAGTGGGACGCTGCTGCCCATCTATCGACCAGAAGTCGTCATTTTAATGATGAGTCTCATCATCTGAGATCTCCAATGCTGTTAAATATATAATTATACATGTGATCTACTTCATTTTTGCCTTAATTATATCTAAAAACTTATATACCTATTCTGTATTCAAGTTTATACTTATTTGTGCTGTCCTTCTGGTATGGTAAGTAGGTGTAGAAAATAATAAACAATAATATGTCACAATGCGATTCGCACGACCACCCGTTCAAACGTCACCCCAAGGAGTGGTCTGAAGCGGGAGGATTGCAGTCTAAGCTTTAATGAGTACATCATATCCTGGTAGAGAATGCTACTACTATTATATTCGCCTTACGTTACTATTTTTTATTTTGGTCAATAAATTTATTTTAATAAAAGTTCCTACTTTCCGGCAGCACAGTCAGAATTGTTTGTCATTCCCTAAATACCGATTCTTTAGTCATTTTGGTCGCAAACCTAAAATAGTTGAAGAGTCCACCGTGCTATCTAAGAAATACGACAACGAATACTAAACTAATCACAAGAAATATGTTCACGACTAAAATAGGGTTATCATAGGCCTTTATGAACAGGACGTAGCCTTACAGTGGCACAATGGTAACCTTAACAATCGACATGCTACATTTTCGCTAAGTTTTTCAACAAGGGCAACTTATCGCCCGTAGCGGATTTATTAGCAGGCTTAGTTACTGGGGCCTAGGGTGACAAGTTTGAGGTCAAAAATTAATTTTTAAATTGTATTTTAATATGCTATTAAATCAGTGAAAACATTTATTACATTTACACAGTATTGGCGACAAATGTGTAAATCCGCCATTTGTTAACGCTATCACTCGGATTATTTCAATTGTTACCTAGCTGATCCCGACTCCATCCAGGCCTTTAGCACGGAATCGTTGAAGCCGTTGATCTGACCAGCACTCAAGAATCTCAGGTTGGGGATCCTGGTAAGCATGTCAATGAGACACTCGGTGGACAGATCAGTGGCTGTCACATCCAGTTCCTGGATTGAGGACTTTTCCCATTCCACTTGCATCACATATTCTGATTGGAGATCTGTGAATTAGACCCATTATTTTAAGGTAGCTTTTATCTGCGTAATCAGAATATATTTATTGACCAAAATAGACAATAGTCTGTGTTTACCTTCGTCCAATATAATACGTAGGTATATATATGCCAGATTTAATAACGATTGCGTGAAACATTAATGCTCCAAAAAGTATCTAACACATAAACTCCACTCCAGTTCATTTCAGCCGTCAACTGTCTACTGTTGAACATAAGCCTTCCCCATAAAAGGAGTTATGCCAGTAGTTGCTAAGCTTGGCAGGCGGAATGGCAACCGCTATTAGGCTTTTAGAGGTATTAAGTAACAGGGACGCTGCTGCCCTTCGCCCTAATATTAAGTTCCTTTAGTCGCCTCATATGACACGCACGGGAAAGGAAGAGGTGGCCTATTCTATGCCGGAACCAAACGGTTTATTTTTATAATACGAGCTAGTTCTTCAGGAAACAACAATCTCTTATGGATAGTGGCCATTTTCTGAACATAAAGCTCCTGGTATAAGGATAGATAATTGAATAGCTTACTGCAGCCATTCATAAGAAGGCAAGTGAGCCTTCGCGAGCGCTGAAACAGCGTCTTCATCGTGGAGCCAGTCACTTTGTTGCAGAAGTTCACCGCCAAACACTCCAGCTGAAACGTAGGAAAGGTCAGTTCGGCAATTTATTTGGTGAATACCCATTAGTAACAGGGACTAGCGAAATCATTGTTTTAAGACTTTGGCATGGTCTATTCTGGTCCTGGAAAACATTGTAGTTAATTCCCGGTGAATTCATCACAATAGCCCAGTGGCCCAGCTTCATCTTTACCTATCATCACTCATTGGAGGTACCACTGATGTATTCGTACGTATATCAATATTGTTTTTATTGTTTACATCACTCACCTGTATACAGTTTGAACTAAAAGCGTCAATGTGTGAGTCGTCAACAAAGTTGATGCCATACAAATTGATGACGCGTAAATTCGGCGTCGCCGACTTCAGTTTGTGTACATTTATCACTTCATATATTTCTTCCTCTTCTTCCTCTATTTTCTCGTATGTTCCTACAATGTGCGAAATGTATTAATTAATAAAATAATAAATACCATTGAAATTATTCACTTTATTATATAGGTACACAGTATCATCTCTAAAATTTTGATTTTTTTTAAGTACGTACTTTTTATACAAAGAAATATCCGGATTAATACCAACACATCATTCATGAATTGATATTGTCAGGGAATATAATTGGCGAAGTGAAAGAGAAAACATAATTAGGGAACGAAAACGATAGGATACAAAGAATAATGACTGAAACATGATCTATTGATGATAATCTAATAAGAAAAATTGTTAATAATATGGTCCCATTGCTAGTAAAATACCCTGTCAAGTCTACACCCCCGCGAATAAAATAAATTCCTGCTGATAGATCACGACTGGCCTACTAATCTAACTTCATCCTCACCTATCATCTCTCACTGATACCCCACTAGAATATACCAATAACGTTAGCAGGGAGAATATCTTTTCCCATTTTTCTTTAAAAAAGTGTAGTAATCTAAAACTCACCAATGAGATGCAAGATCTCGAGACCGTTGATAAAGTTGTAAATTTTCCTCATGAAGCCCTCCATGAAGATGACTTCCGAAAGACAGATACACAAGTATCGCAGTTTGGTGGGGAACGCCTGCATTTCGGAGAAGTCGTGAAGTTGCATAGCTGTGAAATTGTACACATAAAGAAGACATAACTGGATAATGTTTGATACCAATAAATTATAATAATTAACAATCGAATAGAATATTTATTTACTCAAGGTACAGAACTCAGTTATAGAATAAAAAAAGATAAAAAAAATATTATTGTTTTGTCTATGACTCAATGTATTTTATTATAGTTCCTAAAATGTGCTAAAGTAATCAATGGTATTTATCATATTTGTGGTAAAATTAACACTCCCTGTTTTAATGTTTTTTTTTTTTTTTATTGCTTGTATTTAAATAATGTAAATACTCCTACGATGTTTTGTTTTTTATACCACGAAAGCGGCAAGCAAGCATATAGCCAGTTTTGATAGTAATCGGTCACTGTCGCCTATGGACGCCTGCAACACCAGGGATGTCATATGCACGTTGCCGACCCTGAAGAAACTTTAATACACACTTTTAGTAGAATACTATACTGTAATCTCTAGGAAAAACTCGTCATTCCTCTCGCTGAATTCTCTGTCGATGAAATTACAGAAATATAAAAATGTATCAGATGCTGGTTTCAACCATTCCAGTATCATTCATCAGAAAGGTAATGTGATCGTGAATAATGAGGCATTACTCCCCATTGGTAGCTATATATCCCCTTACCTTTTTTTTTATAACATAAAAGACAAATGAGCTTTGCAGCTCACCTGATGGTAAGTGATTACCGCCCGCCATAGCCACCGGCAACGTCAAAGAAATTTCAAACATCTTGTCAACCTTTAAAGAAAAAGTACGCTTTTTCTTGAAGTTTTTAATGTCGTATTTATTCAGAAATACTGTTGGTGTAGTTAAATTAACTATCGTAGTTAATTTCTAGTAGATAACTGACTTGACTTCAACGGCATCTATCAGCGTTAATTGGAACATCGCCAATGTATACTGATATCGAAATGTGGAGTTACCATACCATTTTTACCTTTCATCCCATTGAAAAACCCATCACTATAAACAATTAGTGTAGGCAGCAGCACCATTCATTTATTCATAGGTTCTTACAGCCTATCCCGTAAAGGTCTTTACGTGAAGATATAGATAGGCGACTCCATCACGCTATTTTGACCCATAAAAGAATCTTACCTGTACTAAAATCAAGGAGCATGTGCGTCAGATTAGGACACTTTGCCGCCAACTCGTGCAGCACCGTGTGGGTGATCAGCTCTATTGGCAACTCGATGTATCGCAGCGAAGGACCAAATCTTATTGATATTAGTGCCAACAGAGACTCGAGAGAACCTGGAACATGTAATGTTATGGATGTATTTAAAAAGGGGCTAGGAGGGCCGTGGCCAAACAAGAATTGTCTAGTCTATGCCAGGTTCCGAGAGAAACTTTGGAAAAACATATCTTAAAGTACGTATGCACATTTTTTAAGGAAGACTCCCCGAAAAGTAAGATTAATTTGTTTTATGTAATTTAGAATGGCAAACAAGCTGACGGCCCACTTGATGGAAAGTGGTAACCGTCGCTTATAGATATGAGCAGTACCATGGATATAACAGAGTATACTGTTTCGCCCATAATACCCCCATGCGTTGCCATTCCTAAGAACTAAAGTGTTATATCTTTGTACCCTGTAAGTTCACTGCCATATCCCACCCTTTAAACCGAAACACAGCCATGCAAACACAACTGCTTTACGGTTGAAACACGAATGAGACAGAGGTGCCCAAGCAAATGACTTTTATACAATTCTCCCTCTGACAAATACGCCAACGATAATAAATAAAACGTTTAAATTTAGTTACATATTACATAAATAAATAAATACAACTGGGCACATTTCATAACGCCATCTAGTCCCATAATAAGCATAACTTGTGCTAGGATACTAAACAACGAATAGACTTATTTTTTTTTTAAACGCATTAGGCAAAGGTGACAAACAAGCACATAGTCACTACACACACTCGTCTGATTCTAAACAGTCACTGTAGCCTGTAGTATATTATACGTAGAATAAATACATGCAGACTAATACAAACAGACATAAATATAAATGTTTGTATTGTGTGGAAATCGAACCCGCGATCATCGAGAGGTAAAGCCAGAAAAAAGCGGTGTACTAAGCCAATAGACTATCTATATAGTAAATATTATCTATCTATTTATAAATGGATAGGAACAGTAACTTTAATGTTCACAACATATGTATGTATATTACAAGAAAAATTCTCGATTTCAAATAGGTTTTTTTTCGTTTATTACATACTGACACGATGTCTTTGTCAATTATGATAGGTCTTTTGTAATCGACAGCGTTCATTCCCGTGTCAATCCAAGATATACATTGTGGAAAGAAATCTTTAAAAAATCTTTACATGTAAAGTATAACCAGCCTAATAACGAAATAACCAAAGGTCATGAGTTCGTTGACACAAAAACTATGTCAATTTAAAATTCGAATGTACCTACTTTCCGGCAAATTTAATTCCCTATCACTTAAATTCTAATATGTTCGACACAACGTAAATCGAACGACATATAGATAATAGTCATTAGTCGTATTTAAGGAGAGGGGACCATGCCTACCCCAGAATTCTCCCAGAATCTAGTAACCCTAGAAATACGAGCGGTGATTTTAATAATGCGTTTTTTTTTTAAGGGAAGGATCCTCCCCCACTGAAACACACTAACACTAATGATCATAGGTAGAAAATAATCAACAAATATAAACTATCCCACCAGTAACTATTATAATCATTTCTGTACAATATTTTTTTGTTATAATTTACTATTGCTATGCCTCATTCAATGACATTAAGTTACCTATAATATAATAAAACAATATATATATTAGATAATAAAGAAATTGTAATTGGTATAATATACACCTCAGTATAAAACAATGCTTTTATAAAATCGTTATAAAATAAAAATCAGCGCTAAGGCTATTTGAAAAATTTAATATTATTATTAACATAATGGGAGTAGATAATAAAGGAAGTAACGTCATATTGTTTACGTTTTCCTCAGTGTTGCAATAATAAAATATATAATCCTATAATCGGGTAAATAAAAATTACTCTACTGCATTAAGGTCAGAATATCGTATCATACGTACGTAAAAAAAATAGATATAGTAATCGCATCTTTTATTAAGAATTCTACCGTCTAAGTAGTCTTAAATATAATATAATCGATGTTTCAACGAGACTTGGTTATTTGTTATTTTTGAATTATATTACAGCTATTTCACTCTAAAGCTGTGTTGGTTAGATTTTAGTTATTTTCCTACTTATACACTTCAATTAAATGAAAAATCATTATTCCTAATGTACGAATTTTTCAAAATTAATTATTACCATTCATTTTACTTACCCACATGTAAACCAGATATCTCTGGTCGTAAACTAACATGGGTCCAGAGACGAGTATCATATGCTACCATTCGCCATCTTTTGCATACTGTAGCCATGCGACATATTTCTCTGTGTGATAAATACGAGAAAATATTCAGCAAAACTTTATCCGGCAGTTTCTCTATCGTCTGTAATTAATAAAAATTATAATATTTAAAAATAATAATAAATAAAGATTATTATATTACATATGTAGCTATTTCTTAATTGTTTAGTACTGCCATGGAATAGTTTCCAAAGCATTGTATTTAAACATGCATATGAACTATTTTCGTTTTTCATAACATACATTTTACATATTTGTTATTTATAACCTTGTCTTACTACTAAGGTTGATTCCTAGTTGGCAACAAATCGTCATCGGTCATTCAATCAATGTGTTGTTTGTGAGTTATTAATAGTAAGTTTTATTTGGAAACTAGGTAGGTACATGAATTAGTTAAATATTACCGTACTAGCGAACGGGCTTCTAACTCCACCTTCGGTCAAGTAAACCTGACTAGCTTCTAACGCCAGCTGTCCCCAAACATCCGTTGGTATATCCATTATTATATTTTCACAAATTAATCACTTTTATTTCAAACGTTTATCAAATTTCGTTTTAAGGTTACGAAACTTTCATGGCAGATTTACTTCATACGCGCGGAAAGTTCACAGAGATATAATGTGGAACGCTGTGGTTAAATTTGGAATCATCTGGGAGCGCCGAGACTAGAGTACGGAGAGGAAATATTTTAAGATATTGACGATTCTTTCCTTTTTTATCTAAAAATGTTGTATTCGAATAATAATTGTGAAAGAAATGGCTAGTATTTTAGTAAAAAATAGCATTTAATTTTTGAATACATGAAACTAAAGAAAAGTTTTACAGTAGAAACTAGCGGGAAGTTTTAAATTCTGTAAAGATATTGAATGTGTAGCATTATATGTACTTATTGAAATAACAAAAGTGCATATAGACACCTTTTGAAAAATAGAAGTTAAAGTTATTTGGAATAAAATTAACCAGTAAAAAGTAAACCTTTATGATATATTTAAAATTTAACCGTGAAATATATGTAATCGAATATATGTATATCTTATCAAAATATTCGAATTCATTAACTCACTTCAAAAAGATGGTTCTCTCTTCGTTAATGTATACTTGTTACCTCATATTTCCGTCTATTTTAAACCCACTTGATTATCCTAATGGAGTTAGTTAGTAATTATTAGTTTATATTATTGTATCAATTTATAACTGTTTTACTTATATATGTCTAGTTTGAGAATTTGCTGTGATTGTATATCAACTTTAAAAATGCCGTAACTAAGTATTAATATTGTCCGTTTACTCATATTATATTTATATTATAACACATGACGTGCCAAAAATATATTATGAAATTTTTCTACATGGCTAATAAAAACATATGAAATATACTAACAGTTTGGTCCCGTAGTTAGTTTATCAAAATCGATTTAATAGATTAGTTTTCGAATGTCGATTTTTTGTGGAATCTTTGGAAACTCTTTAATCATTTTGGAAATAATATTAACAGGACAAATATTCTCCATTATTTGCTTTAGTATTAATTCTAAAAGATTTAATTAATTCATAAAATTTATTATAAAAAATTACCAGAGGAAGACTTTATACAAAAGTCGTTTGCTTCGGTACCTCTGAACTATTCCTGTTTTCACCATTATGCAAATCTGTGTTCGGTTTGAAGGGATATGGCGAAGAAGTTACAGGTTACAGAGACATAATACCTTAATGTTCAGCAATGACAAAGCATGTGAGGTATCATAAATGGCATAATATACTTTGTTATGTCCATGACACTGTTCATGTCTATAGCATATACTAATAATTTTCTATCAAAAAAAAAACATTAGTATATAATATATATACTTATTATTACTTTAATTGTAATAGTAGTAAAATAATCGGAATTTCGTTGCTATTAAACAGTCTTGTAACTTGGCAGACAGCAAGGTATTTCCTTGACCAGTGACTCATACCTACTTCAGACAATAATATTATTTGGATCTTTTGTAGAAAATGATTCGCTCATAGATAATTTTTAATATTGTTGCGACATTTTAAGTGAATTTCTGTACTTTGATCAAAAGTGAATAATGTTACTATATTACGTTTTAAACATTTTAAACAAACATACATATAATAAAGAAAACACAAATATAGTATTTTAAAAAAAAATATTAACAATAGTACACCATGTTTTTTTGTAAATTTGCCACATTTAACACATACTAGCTTTTCCTCACAACTTGGCTTACATAAAATATAAAGTATTCTATGCGTTAAGGTATAACCTACCCGTGTACAAAATTTTATTATAACCCGTTCAGCCGTTTATTCGTGATTAAATAACAAACCTCTAAACATCTTTAGAAACTTACACATTTTTATTAAAAAATGGGATTACACAGTACATTGCTTATACGAACATAGATGTTCCTTGTTTATTATGTAGGTCATGAGCAACATAAAAAAATCTAAATGCAGTTTTTCTTAAAAATATAAAAATAAATTCATAAAATTTACTTTATGTGAATAACCAATGGATATACCGACCCAAACTGGCAGAATAATAATTTATTAATGATTTTATCCAGTATACATTTCATAAGTAAAATGGATAAATAAAAGCCTGTAATTAAATACGAGTAATTACATAATTCTTTATACATGGGTTTCCAAAGTATATAAATATTAATTTATAAATAATGTAAATTGATTACTAGTATTATTACTATAAATTTTTATATAATATAAATAAACAACATTTTAAAAGTAAGTTACATTATAAATATTAAAATAATGAATGATTATGATATTACATTTTATTCTTCAATTTCTTTGACAAACAGATAGATATTAATTTCTTGAGACAAATCTTATTATTTGACATAAAATAAAATGAAATACCGATCAACCAGGTATATATATTTTAGTTAATTAGCCGTTAAGTTCAATTATGGCATAGCATACATGTATTGGTCATAAATAAATTAAAATCTCCTTATATAATTATAAGCACTATTTGAACATGTCCAAATTTTCATATAAAATTTTCCAAATAGTAAAAATAATTACCATAACTTGCTTCCGTCGAAAACTTGACATATCATCTCTAGATATAGCTGCTGCAGCTGTATCTACATTTAAAATTCCCCAGGAATCCATGTTTAACTAATTAATTCACTATTCACGAAATCTCCGTTAATAAACCACTGAATGCTCAAAAGACGAGATACCAGTAAACTCCGATATAAACTCTGATATTTTCACTGACACATTTGGCGCGAAATCATTTTAACTCAAATGTTCACAAACTTAATTAGATCAACTTCATGTTGTCTATTTGTCGAGCTATAGTACAAATGTGATTCAAATTGGCTATAGCAATGTTGCGACACACACTAACTATATGTTATCAGACATTTAAATTGGCAAACCAAAATAAGTGCGGCATTTTGCTTCAACTGGGCGCTGCGAGACGGTGTCGCTGCCAAGAAGATTCGTATTGCATTCGTGTCACAGTAACATATACCGGACGTGTATTTATCTTTGTACTTATCAATATAAATTATTATTAACCGACTTTATAATGGAGGAGTTACTCAATTAAAATTTATTTTTCACGCAATACTTTTATCATTTGTGAATTTATTTAATTAATTTTCTTTTAATTGAAAAGATTTTTTGTCTTAGAGCATAAAACCTTCCTAATTAATTAAGCTAAGTCATTGGATACAGATATAAAACAGTATATAGATTTAGATATTTGTTATACATTTGTAATTAGTTTAGCTATTGACAATTTTTAGAATCGTAAACTAATTATTGCCTATTACTACTATTATATAAATAGTGCCTATAATAAAACGTATGCCTATAATAAATAGCTATAAATATTTTACTTATAATAGATTTAACAAAAAACTGTAAATAGATATATATTTTTTTACAAATAATTTAACAATAAATAAATAATATAACTATTGTACTATCTAAATTTATTATTTAATTAAATTATAAATTAATGATTTAATTATGCCCAAATTAATAAGATATGATTTACGGAGTCTTTGTAGTTTTAGCCACAATAACCTCTACAAGTACTTTATCGATTTTATATAATAATATTGCATTAAGATGAGGGCATTTTAATATTATAAATAAAGGAGGATATTTTTTTATAAATTGGCAACTTTTAAAACATTTTCTATTGAAACTTCACCAAAATGTCACTAACTGATGTCATCTATAAATGACAATCAGGTGTCATGCTTATGTCAACATTTTGACAGATAAATGTATTCTAAGATCATGAAGATCATTTATAATTGAAAAAAAGGCGGGAAACTCGAATAAGAACAAGCGGGTTTTTTAAATTTTTTTTATTAATTTATTAAAACTATCTCTATCAATTCTTATTATTGAATAAAATATTATATTTTCACTAAATTCAGCGACAGTAATATAATTAGCATTCATGGGGAAGCGCAGTTGTAGAAAAAGGAAAAAAAAAGATGACGATTCAGGTGATGTAGACCATGAACCTTGTAATGACAAGGATATATATTCGGAAGATACTTCTACTGACTCAGAATCTGAAATTGATAAGGCCGATAAGTATAAACCTTACTACGTCACAGATTATATTAGAAGATATCCCGAGGAATCCCCTGGGACAGAATTTGTTGTCTTTGTAGAATCCTCAGATAGTCAGAAAACCATTGGATCCAGAGACTTGCTCTCACTCTCCTCCTGTTTAAAACGATTTAATAAAGGGGTAACTTATCTTAGATCTATAAATAAATTCAAAATCGGAGTATACTTTCAAAAGCCAGACTTAGCCAATGCTTTTTTAAATAATAAAACTTTTTTAAATGACTACCATTTTAAGGCCAGTATTCCTGCTTCTTCAACAGAAGTTACAGGCGTTATTAGAAATGTACCTACAAATATATCTAATAAAAAAATATATACTATGATATCGAGTTCTAAGAAAATTATTGCTATTAAAAGAATTTTAAGAAAAAATACCTTGACTCATGGATATGTGTTACAGCCAACTCTAACCGTGACAATTACTTTTGCTGCATCTGTATTACCTGAATATCTGGATATTGGAGGTTGGCGCCACAATGTCACTCCATATATACCACCAGTTAAACAATGCTACCGGTGCTTGAGGTATGGACATTTAGCTAAATTCTGTAAGAATTCTGAGCGTTGCAGCATCTGCAAAGGTGAGCATAATTATAAAACTTGTACAACTGGAATGGAAAACGCTATTTGTGTACACTGCAATGGAAATCACACAAGTGTATCACCGCAATGCCCTGTTAAACAAAAGAAAATTGCTGAAAATAGATCTAAATTCAGACCTGCTTCTTTTGGAGATATACTTAGCACTGAAATATTTCCTAAACTGGGTAACAAACCTAAAAAAAATGTAGACCTAATTTCAATTCTAAATTCTGATAACAAGAGTTTATCACTTTTTAATAGAAAGCATAATCAAACTTATTTCACTACATAACACAAAGAACACATCTATTAACACTAAAAGTGTTTTGAATGTGTTATATGATACTTTTGGTAATAGACCTATTTCACAAAATTCAATCGAGACCAATTAACTATCATACAGTGGAACGCTCAGAGCCTACTGAGCAATCGACATATTTTTACACAATTTTTAAATGAACATCATATTCACATTGCTCTCATCTCAGAAACTTGGCTAAAACCACATTACAAATTAAAAATTAAAGATTATTGTATAGAACGAAATGATTGTGGTAATAACCACAATGGAGTAGCGATTATTATACATAATAGTATTAGATATAAAAAACTTCACTCTTTTTTCGACAATTCTTTGCAAACTATAGCTATTAGTATTGAAGTTAATAATTCTTGGTATTCAGTTGCCAGTATTTACTGTCCTACCAATAGTACACCTAGTTTTACTAAAGCCAAATTTAAGTTCTTTTTGGAGTCTCTTCCTAAACCCACTATCATATCTGGAGATTTAAATGCACATCATACTATGTGGGGTTGTACCTCCACTAATACAAGAGGTAAAGACATTCTTGATTGTTTAGATGAATGTAATTTGGTACTATTAAATGATAAGCAAGTTACTACTGTTGGCTCTCATATTTGGAGACCCAATGGCCTTGATTTAACTATGGTATCCCCATCCATATCATTAAAATGCGAGTGGTCGGTTCATGATGATCCGTTAGGAAGTTATCACCTGCCGACTTTTACTAAAATAAACACAAAGAACTCTTCATCAACTCCGTCAGGTGAACAACATGCTCCTATAGATGAAGTTAATAAACTTTTGTTAAATCGTATAAACCTACGTCTCGTTAATTGGGATCTTTATTCTGAAACTGTTAATCGATTACTTTTGGATTTCGAGTATGATGTCAATGAACCCTTAAACAATTACAATAGGTTCTGTAAAATTATTTTGACAGCTGTGGAACGTTCCGTTCCACGTAGGAACTTATCAAATAGCGGTGCAAATACTTCAAAGAGGCACAAACATATTGCAGTACCTTGGTGGAATAACAGGTGTGCGACAGCTGTCAATGATAGTAAAGCGGCTTACCTTAGGTTTAAACAAAATCCAACTCTCGATAATTACATAAATTTTAAAAGAGTTCAAGCTGTTAAAAAGTTAGTAATTAAGCAAGTAAGACAACAGGGGTGGCAGGAATTTTGTTCCAAATTTAATAGATTAACACCAATTTCCACTGTTTGGCAAAATATGAGAAAACTAAATTCAAAACATCGTCAAAATCATTTTAAAGATATATCATGGGTCAATGATTTTTTACGCAAATATACTCCTGATTTTGTACACTCACCTTTTGATGACAAACAGTTTAATTCTGTTAATTCATGCCCAAAATTTCTCACTGACCCATTCTCAATTGATGAAATATCCAGTGCAGTAAAATCTAGAAAAGATACAGCTAGTGGCCTTGATCGCTTAACATACAATATGTTTCGATTGCTGAATAAAATAAACCTTACTAAACTCTTACAAATTTTTAACGATTTATGGAAGGACTGTATTATCCCACCAGAATGGAAAATGGATTGTTTGATTCCAGTAATTAAACCCGGTAAAGATCCTACAAATTTCGACTCCTATAGACCTATAACATTGACGTCCTGTGCAGGCAAATTATTCGAACAATTAATTAAACAGCGTTTAGAGTTCTTTATTGAAAGTAATAGTATATTACCATCGAATCAATTTGGTTTTCGCCGTGGATATTCAGCGCGCGAAAGTTTAGCGAACTTCTATGTCGACCTTAGTACTGCTTTGAATAACGATGAATATGTTCTATCTGTTTTTTTAGATGTCGTAGGAGCTTTTAACAATGTAAATTTAACAGTTCTATCTTCGATTTTATCCTCATTTCTTCCAATGAAACTTATCGAATGGATTTATAATTTTCTTAGTAATAGAGAAGTGTATGTTAAAGTAAATAGTAAATTAATAGGACCTAGGTTAAGCTCTAAAGGAGTATGTCAAGGTGGTATTCTAAGCCCGCTACTATATATTTTATATATCTATAAACTTAATTCAATTTTAGGAAACAGTGTGAACAACTTGCAATTTGCCGATGATTTATTAATTTATATAAAAGGAAAGAATATTATTGATATGCAATTAGTGTTAAATGAGTCATTAAAAAGACTTGAGAAATATTTTTCTCTTCTTTCCCTCGATATTAGTTTAACCAAAAGTAAAGTAGTTGTTTTTCATCAAGTTCATAAATATGTTCCATTAATGAATATTATATATAATAATCAAACTCTTCCAACAGACTGTAGCGTTAAATTTCTGGGGGTAATTTTTCATCAAAATTTAAAATGGGATCTATACGTTGATTGCTTAGTAGATCGTGCTTTAAGAGCCACTAATATAATAAGATCTGTAATTGGTCGTAACTGGGGAGCTGATCCTAAAATTATCCTTTTACTTTACAAATCTCTTGTTAGAAGTAATTTTGATTACGCTTTCTTTTGTTATGCCTCAGAACATAAATTAGTAGAAAAACTCGAAAAAATTCAAAATATGAATTTAAGACTTATTTTAGGTGCTATGTATACTTCTCCAATTATCTCAATGCAAGTAGAATGTAATTTGCTTCCTATCCTTCTTCGTTTCGAATACCTAAAACTCAAATTTCTCTTCAAAGTTTTTTCAGTTTCCAATAACCCACTCATACTCAAATTATTAAATTGCCCCATTTCTATGTTTTTGAATAAAACTATTGTCAATGATTTGAATTTACGAGATGAATATAACATCTATAGTAGTAAGATACTTCCTTGTTATAATGGCCTTTATGAGAGTAAGTTCTGTAAGATCAAAATTGTTATACGTAAAGACATAAAAGAAAAGCACGATATGTATGAGACTTTATCAGAATTTATTGACTACAGGCAGATATATACAGATGGTTCCAAAAATGCACTTAGCACTTCAGTGGCTTTTTACGATTTGTCAAATAGATTTGGTCACGGTTATAAAATTTCAACTTTGGCTAGTATTTACACAGCAGAAGCAAAAGCTATATTTTTAGCATTAGAATACATAGAAAAACAGGTACTATATTCGAAATGGATTATAATTACAGATAGTATGAGTGTTCTTATGGCATTAAAAAATAACACATTCATTTCATCATCAAACTACTTAATTCAAGAAATTCGTAATAAATATTATCATCTCTGTACTATATATGGAAAAGATATTATCTTCATCTGGACCCCTTCACATATTGGAGTGTTTGGGAATGAACAAGTAGACACTTTGGCTAAAATTATTAATTCAAGTGCTGCTCGTGTTCAAGATTTACCCCTTTGTTATTCAGATTGTAGTATTGGAATACATAAAATCGTTACAACTAAATGGGAGGAGCATTGGACTCAAATATTACAGACTAAAGGCAAATGGTACCGCAAAATTAATTGGCGTATTGGAAAACCGTGGTTCTGCAAAGGAAAGGACACAAACAGAAAATTTTACACCAATATTTGTAGATTACGAATCGGCCACGGACATTTCAACGAACACCTGCACCGAATGGGCATGATCGCTTCCCCATCATGCACATGGTGTAACTCAAATACAGCCCAATCTCTACATCACCTTTTTTTTGATTGCTCTGAATTTGTCATTCAAAGACACATTATGTTTGACGAACTTAGGATTATCTTCAAAAAACCCGAAAATATCCCGCACTCAATCCCGCTTCTCTTAAGATTTCCTTCTTGTTTCAAAGCTATTTTCACTTATATTACTACAACATTCAAAGAGCTATAAGAATACTTTTATTGAATTGCAAGACAATGATTTTTTATAATTATTTATTTTTAATTTGATAAATCCACTGGTTTAAGAAAACTCAAGAAAAGATATTTATGAAAATGTACTTACCGGATTTGACAAATGAAATATTGAAGATTATGACAATAATTGAAGCGACATTAGAAAAATAAAATTCCAGACAAATTATCTTTTTGAAGACTAGGCAGCATGGTCTCCGACCTTAGCCTGTTCCAAACGGAACAAACGTACTAAAAAAAAAAAATCATTTATAATTATAATCATTCTTTCATTCGTTCGTGCTTCGTTTGTATTTATTTTCTGACCGCTGTCATTACTTCACTGTTTTCGTCCCTTACGACTATTCGACAGTGTTTTTCTTTGAATTTCTGATACGTAATAAGATAAAAGTTGAACTTAATGTAAAATGATGTTATCTATTATAATAAATAATTTGAAGTGGTGAATGAAAGAAACTGCTTACGGACGCGCTCAATCTCAGTGAAGATTAGTTCGTCTGGACAGCATCTTTATCTGGAAAAGAAATCGAAACATGCAAACATCTCCGGTCCGCTGATTATACCGATTTAGTTCGACGTGCGGTGTGAATCCTATCGGTCGCCAATTTAAAAAGAAATGGAACACTAATAATTTGCTAACAAATAAATCGATTCGAACTTTAAATTAAGAAATATCAACCAGTGTATTTGTGTTAACTTGCGAAAAAGACATCAGAATGAGCACAGCAGACACCTCGGTTTTGGCGGGATTTATCCCTGAATATTTTTTCAACATTGTCGAAGAGCTCGATGAACACCCATGGTTATTTGCGGCGCTTGCCTCTGTGCTGGTGGGGCTTAGTGGTATCCTACCACTTCTAATCATTCCAATAGACGACACGGCCTCTTTCAAGGACGGATGTAAGTAGCTTATTGACAACGTAGGTATCTATATTTTGCGAAGTGTGTTTGTGTACTAATTTTAGATTTTACATGTCATCATTCAAATACAGAATGCCAAAACAAAGAGTAGCGATTTTTTTTAAATTTATATGATATAAAAAACTGAATTTGTTATCATTATAAATTTAGAATTCCTCTTTTATTGTCATTAAAAGCAGTTTATTGATTTCGAAAATTGTACATTATAAACTTACTAGGTCTTTTATAATATCTAATAATATTAATATTGTGGTTGTCCACACTAAATTATAATATGCCTTTGTGCATATTATATTTTTTTTAAGATATTTTGAATATTTATTTTTATTGTGCTGGTGTTTCTTGATGATTTCATAAATTTTTCATTGTTATAAAATAAATTAAATAATATTGTGAATTAATGATTACTTGTTCAGTAATTTATGGCACAATATCTCTGTGTAGTTGATCTCCACATGGTTTTTCCCGGAAACAATTGCGGTAAATTCTTGTGGAATTCGTCACTAACCGACCTGCCTGTCATCTTCACCTATCCCACTCACTGGTGCCTCGCCAGTATAGCAAAAAGAGAAATCATTCCATTCTCATGCATTAAATAAACTACCCATGTGTGTACTTAGTATTATGTAGGCAAATTAAATTTATCAAAAAGAACTGTATAGGGTTAACTGGAAGAGATCTCTGTCAGAGATAAGTCCACCCTTGCTCACAACATTTATAAATGCATTATATTATATGTAGCTTACAAGTGCAATAAAAAATATATACATATATTTTAAGCTATGACCCATTGTTGACTAGCTGATATAATTAATATTTTAGTGGTCATTCAAACAAAGAAAATGTAATTATTAAAAAAAAATGTGCAATTAGTTTTGTCATTTAATAATCATTAACAATTTAATGATTCAATGGATCAGTTTACTCAAGATCAGACTGTATGTCTTAGTTCCTTTGCTTTTCACATTATTGGTAAATTAATACTACTATTACTTCAATGAATCAGCTTTTTAATATAATACTATATTACTTATCACATATTATGTTGTCATGTAAATAGGATTACAATTATAGATAAAGGAATAAATATACAAAAAAAATCTTATCTCTCCTATAAACATCTAACTTACATAAGGCTATTTATATATTTATTACCAGTTGTATCCTGTATCTTCTTTGTAATGAAATATATAAAGAATTTTATGGTTTAAATTAGGATGTAACATGGGTATGTATGCCTAAAATTTTAATCAAATCGATTCAATATTTTTTTAATGACAGATTAACAAACATCTATCCAACAGAAGCAATCTCTAAAAGTCATTTCTAACCAAATTGAATGGGAGGAAAGGGATTGTTAGCAATGGAGACTGAGAATCCCATTGCTAGCAATATACCCAACCAGGTGGACCTCCTCGCGAGGCAAATGAATATATGGCCAGTGTTTACAATGTCTGTGTAAATTTACACCTCTTTCATATAAAAAGTACCTACATTCTAATAGAATAAATTACAATCTTTTCAAAACAGCCCACCTAATATGGCTGTTTTCTGCATAACTAGCTCCAGTTTTAATATAATCCTACTAAGATATTTATTTATTATTATTTATTAACAGTTATAAACAAAAATAATAACATATAAAGAATTCAACTGAAATACAGTAGCATGAAAGACAAAATATACATATAAAGGTATAAAAGGTAGTCTTATCGCTACAGCAATTTTTTATATACAACCTTTTTATTTACATTTACAGTAGCCTTTATTTCAAAGGTTAATGACACTATTGCTATGACAATAGTTAGCTTTGTCTCACAAACCAATTGAAGAAATTGATGTAGCTACATACATTTTAATTGATATAATTGCATGCCTTTTTAATATTGCACATATTAATCATTGGCCTTATTAATATTGTACATATAAATCATTGAAAAAAAACTGTGTGTAATTTGCAATTTTAAATAAAAAATGTTGTTTACGAATCAAGACTACAGTAGGATATTTAACTATATATGTTTGGAGGGAAATGGGATTATGTTGAATCATCGATTACATAAAGTAATTATTAGAAAGGAAAAATGTATTCAGAGAGAATTGTGTATTTTTATTAGAACAATGGAGGATAAGATAAAAAAAGTAATATCAAGCAGTAATTTTAAAATTATGTCAAGATCTACATATTAAAATATTTCCAGCCATTATTAATAGATTATAAGTAATGGGCTCTAACAGCCCCACTGCTAGCAATATCAGGTTGGCCCCCATGCGGTTCCCCCTGGAAACTGTTGTAGTTCTTTTTTTTCTATATTAAGTATATATTTGTATTCATATATGAATACTGGTTACATACAAAGGTATTATATATATTATACATTTGTATTGTTGGTTTCTTTCTTTGTTCAGAGATATAAGTATGAATAGGAAGGGGAAATCAACTCAGTTTGTGTATTTCCTATTGTTTTTTTTATTCCTTTTCCTCTAGTTCACAATTGTAAAGATTGTTGGCAACATTAAAATTAAAGAATTTAGAATAAGTGGGGAAAACGTTACCATATATATATATGTCCTTATTTGTATATTGCATGTATGTATGTATTATATGTATCTTTGGTTAAATGATAAAATATTTTAAACCTCTCACAATAAAACGACGCGTTGAACTGTTACTATGAGAAATTAATATTTTTTTTAATTTTGACTTACGAAATTTCTCTTTTAATATGTTTTTATATTACGCGATATCTTCGTCAATTTTAATACTTTTTTTTTTATCAATCGATATAGTTTAGTCCCTTATTATATTTTATCATATACGTTTGAAATAGCTGTTGCGAAGGAAAATGTAAAATTTTTGTCTTGGTCACGTCCACATACAGTGCAACATCATTCGGTGCCTGGCTTCGTCATTTAGTTCTATTAAAATTAATCATATATTAGGCGAAATGTTCATCGGTAAATGTGTCAGTCAATTAACAGAATGGTGCTTTTAATAGATGATAATGGAATGGTAACCCCGTCAGCGCTATCGGTGTACGCTAGCGGAGCACTAGGATAATAGGTCTGAATGAAAGCTGGTCAGTTAGCGCATCATGAAAAATTTATCAAGAATCAACTACTGGGCTTCTAGTCCCCGTTACTACTAATTCCTTCCCTTCCCAACTGAATGATGTACACTACATCTCCTTATTCATTCCCATAAGACTAAGATAAACTTGGTAATGGGAAATGGATTGTTACTAATATGATTAACGGGAGGAGGGGGGAGGGATTCTTAAGTAATACAGCCTTACCGGTCCTATTGCTAGCAATATACCCTGGTGGGTCGACTTCCACGTTTCGTCCATGATACCGCCCAAGCGTCGCCATTCCTGAGGACTCGGATGTTATTCCTCTGTACCTTATAAATTCAGTGTCATATCCCACCTTTCAAAGCATAACACAGCCATGCAAACACAACTGCTTCACGGTTGAAACACGAATCGGACAGAGGTACCCAAGCCAACGACTTATACAAAGTCTTCCCCTGGTAATGGTAATAATAGTAATAAGTCTGGTAGGTAGGTAATGCATGCATAATAAGTAAATATGAATAAATAGATAAGCAACTGGAAATAAAGTATTTCTAACATAACATTGACGCGGAGATAAGATTAGAACTATTTAGAGGAGTCTAATAGATTTCACCACTGTTTAGTAACAACTTGTCTAAGATTACTCAATGTTAGACAGTTCAGTGATTTCCACACCGATAAAAGGAAATTGTATCGCCTATATCTGTTTAGAGGTTTGGCTAATCAAATTGAGAGCAATTTTATAGGTGTTACAGTGATACGTCTTATCTAAAAGTAATAGAGTTTAAAATTCATTGTAAACTTAATATGTACGTAGGTGGATTTTCCCCACTTAGATACGATTAGATTATGATCTGCTGTTTCTCAAAATATAGACCATAAAAAAAAGTATCGTATCCACGTTCCAAAAATTTTTTTTTTATTTTTAAAATGAGTGAAAATTGGTAAAACCTGCCAGGACTATTTATTTACGCTGACGATTTACCATAGAGAACTGACGGGTAAAGATCATAACAGCCAATTAGTCCATCGTAACGCATTTTACAAAAATTAACCACTATAACAACAAACATCTGTCAGGTGATAGGGGTAGGCCTCATTCCCAGCAATACCTTATCAATTCAACCTCCACGCAGTGCCCCTGGAAACCACTGAACTAAACTACTGAACCGATTTTGATAACGTTTTTATGGGACCGATCTGTAAGTACCTATTTCATTTTAGATTAAAAAGAATCTCAAAGCTTCAAAATCTCTGTTAAATCCTACCATCACTCCCTGATTAGTACTGTTTTCTTGTGTTCTCTTTTCATCCTCCTCCTCCAGTCTCCTGTCTAGTTTTCGCGCTTGGCAGACAGATTGACAACCTCAGTTAGCTTTTGGAATTTAAGAGGGACGCTGCTGCTCATTCTTCGCTCTACATTAATCGCCTCTTACAACACCCACGAGGAAGGAAGGGGTGGCTTATTCCATGCCGGGACTACACGGAAATCCTTTTCTAATATTTCACTGAGAATAAAATATAAGGTAAATAACATGTGAGACGGAAAGACACAAGTAAAAGGTAGAATAGGAAAAAAAACTATGAATAATAAACTTAATGAATACGTATACGAGTAAATACTTGATGAATATAGAATGATGCACTTGTTTATGCTACTTGTATAAGGTGGACGCTGACGGAGGATGAAGGAATGAGGATAAAGTCAAGTCAACATTATGATTAATTCCTGATGAATTTGAGGACGCCCGCAGCGCAGTGGGTTTTTTTTAATGGATGATAATGAAATAATAACCCTGCTTGCGTTTACGGTATACATTGGCGGGGCACCAGTGACCATTCCATTATCATCCATTAAAAAAAATGTCCTATCAGGTTGACATCCACGTGGTGGAGGAAAAG